GGTCAAGACCAAAGAACTCTCGGTTGCTGGTATTGGTGATACGACGCGTGCCATCCGACCTATGTTCGAGTCGGCAGTTTTTAAGCGACCCAAAGCTTTCTTGATCGCCGACAAGCCCACGCAAGTTGTAGAGACAGGTGTCCGCTTTGTTTTACCAGGTAACCTGATGAAGGCTATTTTTATGGCTTGGTAAATTGTTCACCAAGGTTTTGATGAAGTGTTGGTGAAATTGTGGGAAAGTCACCAACAATTTGCGTCTCTACTTCAAAAAAGTACTAACATTGCCGCCGTCTTTGTTTGATGCAGAAGCTTTGGTACTCAAGTGCTTAGATTCTGCTAAGAACGTGATAATTCGACAGCAACTGCTCAGTGACAAGAACCCTACAGCAAAAGAGCTTGGAGTGTCGATTTTAGATGTGGGGACCTTCTCTATTCTGGATATCGAGCGTATGAAGTTGTGGCATGAGGTATCGAGAAAGCTTCTCAAGGCCCAAAAGCTAATCAAGTTTGTGAAAAATTTATCGATAGAACGCGGTGCTGAATCCAAGAAACAGCAAGAGATTCTGAAGACGATACCGCACATGGGTGTTGACACAGTCTATCATACTGGTGGGCACGACATCCATTTTACGGAGCTCGCTAGATTTGGAGATGAAAGTTGGTTAAGTGATACATGCGTGTATCTGGCATCGCAACGTGTTGCGGAGGAAGCAACAAAGTTATCCTGGTGGCAGCCCAAGATAGTGAGTGTTGTCGACCTCATCTACTTACAAATGGCAGACGTGGAAAGAAGAAGTGGATTTATCGACACTAGCGATCGCATCTTCAGCCAAATACAGGCGAATCGAATTGTATGCTGCCCGATTTATATCAACGTGACGTTTCCACACTGGTGTGGTATTATCTTTGACATGGAGCGTCAAACAGTATGGACATATGACCCTTTTCATAGAGAGGATTTCCTAAGAAGGGTGGAGGATATTTTCGAGAGTCGATTTCGACCGATTATGGCTACTGCGATGGAAGTTAAAAACTTCTTAGGCTCGCTACAAGATAACGGTTATAGTTGTGGAGTATTGGTTGTTCTCTGGTTTGAACAGTACATGTCTATCGCTCGAGCTACTCCACCCGACCAGAGTATCCCCTTTCCCCGCGGCAACAAACTGCACCCCAAGGACCTGACGTACATGCGTTTCAAGCACCTTTCCTACGTATTTGATCGCGTAGTGGCAGATGCAGACATTGATCAATAATGCATGAATATATGTTTTGTATAAGGAGCATGAGTGGATCTAGTGCTGGTGCACACTACGATAGCAAGAGATCCGCAACGAGTGTGCCACGCAAATTTAAACATTTTTCTCTAAATACCGCACTGGTACCGGTAGCGGTCTTCGCCATATGATCCTCATTTTCGCATATTCTTTTAACGAAAAACTTGGTGACTGTAGGGAGAGCCTTATTTTTACGTACTTTCGATACCGTTTTCGCACATATCGGTGCCTTTAATCCTGGTAGTGCTACGTGAATAGTATGCACAAGGATGACATATGTGGTCCACAGAAAAAGTAGGTACATCGTCTATACAATTTTTAAATGAAATGCTCTTATATATCATCCATTTTTCTCATTAAATGCGACATGTTCTTTATTTACTAGAGGCTTTTTACGGCCTATGGCATTTAAGCTTTTCAATTGATCAACGACCAATGATCATACCGTTTTGGAAAATCCTAATATGAGAGGGACTATTACTACAAAATAAAGATCCGGAGCTTAAATTGGTCTTATGTTCTATCCATGACAAAAAAATTGTGACATAAAACTAACAAGGCATGTGGATTCAAGCTCAATTGCACGCCCAATGTTTGAAAATAACGCACTTTTTAAACGTTGGATTGTATCGAGATTCAGTGGCTGTGGTTCATCTCGAAATTCCTCCAAGGCCGACAACAGACTAGCGCGCAATACAGCGAGGGATATACAGCGAGGAACACGCGGAGCTGACGACGACGAAAAAGATGCCGTTGCTGTTCGCATAATTTCCGTAGCCCGCATCAGCTGCATCATGTGCGCAACGCGTCGGTCCCTACTCTTCTGGGTAAGACGTGCCGAATTTGACTTGTTGTTGTCTAACAAATTAGAGGTACATGTATCAGGTACAAAACCCTCTCTAACGTGCATGTTCGTGGTATTAGAGATAATAGTAGTTGTTGGAAGCCTTTACTACAGGAAAAAAATGATAAACATGGCGGTTCATGACTCGTCTTTGAATGGAAGGAAGTGCGCTCCAGACGCGGTGCTACTTTAAAGCGAAGTGCTTTCATAGTATGTCGTTTACTATTGTTTCGCTTGCGCTCGGAACGCATGAAACACAGCGGTCTCTTCAGAACGACAGATCTGTTGGTTGGAGCAACGGCAAGCGAGGTTTGTAGATTTTCAATAAACCTATAGTCGAAAAGAGAGAGTGTTTGCGGCAAAAGCTGATTATGCATGTGAGCTTTAACTCAAGCTGTGAGCAGCTAGGTGTGGTCTTTATTTGAATTAAGCTTTTTTTATTTGTGTTAGATTGTGCCAGTTTGTCGTAGATAGTGGCGGTTTGTGTCAAATTGTAAGTAGGGGTGGAAGTTTGGAAATACGCTCTAGTGTGTCTAACGTGGGGTGGTGGTGTTACGGGCTGGCTCGGATATCTCTGATGTAAAGGTGTTATGGGTGACCAGCATGGCATATGGATCATCACGCACAGCACCAAGGTCATCGAGCTTTGCTAAATGCCATAGGTAGCTAACTGACGATCATGTTCCAATAGTAATAATAAAAAGTGTGTGTAACTAGCTCTTTCGTCACTGCTTCTGTGCTATTCGCTCGCTCTAATAGCACTAGCGCTAATAGCACTAGAATACCTTAATGATCTCTTAAACAGTCATTTTGTGAATGAAGATTAAGTAGCTATCGTGTTCTACATCTTCATCATGACTGGGTTGTCAGGGGGGACACCTTGGGCGTCACAACAAAGCTTATAAGTCAGCTTACCAGGTGTATCGGAAATGCTAGGGGATGTCCTATCACCGTTTTCCACCAATCGGACCGCTGGTCACCGCTCGCCACCGTACTTGTCTCGCACTTTTGTCGCGGTTCCCCCAGAACGTCCTCACGATCGCGCATAATCAGTATCGAGCTACCTACTAAAGACATGCGAGGTAAGTGGGTGTCCTTAGCTACACAATGAACATCGAGATGTCCTGTAAGACAAACACAAGAACTTTGATTAAGCTTACGAGCTGCTGAAAAATGAGTCGATGGGTGCACTAGAAGGTCTTCCTGCTCTCATACACGAAGGATTAGTGCCGCCATCGCCACACCTTTTCCGCTTCTTCTGACATCTGGAGGAAGTAGCACGAATTCGCTTTTGGACGACGGAAGGAGGTTGCTGCACCTGCTTCTCCACACAGGTTGTCCTCCTTTGAGGCTGCTCCTTCAAGCGACAGCGCAGAGCAATTGCGCCAAGCTTCGAATTTGAAAACTTCTCGAGGAATCGGCCGTGCAGGTACTCCCATTTGCCGGGTATTCTTCCAATAGATCTTGCAAGTGATCTAAAAAGCTTCAGATCGTCCCCTGCTATGACGGTTTGCAGGTGATTCGTTTTGAATACAGGCGGAGGAGATTCAAGTATTGCTTTTTACCACGTGCTGAGCGCTAGCAGATTCATCGCTTGAGTGTGATCTCTAAAAAGCGACCACCTGATTACTACATGTTGGTCGCAGCTCAGCAGTTTGTACGCTCGCTGATATCGCAGAATTATTGGCATCCCCTCCATCGTTATCATGAATCGCTGTGTCAGCGCTGGGTGTGGAGTACGAGCTATTTGTTTAACAC